TCTAATTTTGTAATCATGAAAAAAAAAAAATACCCGACAGTACGGATACCTCTGAGATAATTTCATAACCTGATGTCGTTCCTTTGAATAGCCATTAAAGGAACTGGGGGGAAACTCTGTGGTGATGGCGATAAGGAGCGCGCCTTGCGCCCTCCGATAAGTGTGGCAACCCTAGAGGAGAAGTTTCTTACGAGTAGCGAGCAGAGCGAAACAGGCAGGCTGTCGGGGAGTATGCGCGATGTTCCTAAATAAAGTTTAATTTTTATTGTGCACTATGTCTTGTTAATATTTATATTAATGCAGTAAGAACATAATCTGTGATATGGAATTTGAGGATTGGTGGTAAAACATAACCGGAAATTTCCATAAGTTTAAGGGGACAAAGGATTTTCTAAATATGTTTCATGAAGTCAAAATTTTTCGAAATTTAAATTTTTATTCCCCAAAATAAAGAAAAATGTAAGTGATGCATACGTAAAAAAATTTTTTAAATTGCGGTGCATTTTAAATATTTTACAAAGAAGACTGTGGACATGGACATTTAAATGCTTTTAAAGGCATTTAAATAACTGACACATTATGCTTTCCAGACGTTTCTTGCACATTTCAGGCAACGAATTTATTTTATTTTTTACTGTAGGAATGGCAACCAGTGTATTATTCTTTCCTTGAATATCAACAGCAGCTGCTTTCAGCTTTGTTTATATTGATCTTATATTTATTTCTTTCAGCCCTTAGTGAAATGAGGGGTGCAAGCAAGAAAAAAAAAAGTTCGTCGGTATTTGGAGGCATATTTAAAATTTGGTTTCATACCTGGTCAACTTTTGTCTTTTATGCCAATAATGCCTGACCAATGAATTAATGAAACTAGGTTGTCTTGAGGCACATTTGAAGGCAAAACATAACGCTGATATTAATTCAGATTTGAATTATTTTCACACTTTAAGGAAAATTTTTGAAAAAAGTGTAATATTAAAGTCTCTATTTACTGCTCATAATGAATGCAACTGTTAATCGTGCTCTTGAGGCTATCAAATTTCATTACACATCGCTTAATCTGGGAAAAGCCATACTACAGGGGAGAATTGAATAAAACCATCAATATCAGCATTTAAAACAGTCCTAGAAAAAGATGACAAAGACGTTAAAGCTGTGCCACTAAATAACAATACTGTTTGCAGAAGAAAGATTAAATGAGGATATTGAAATACAACTTGTTGAAAAGCTGAAAATAAGAAAATTTTCAGTGCAAACGGATGAACCAACTTTGAGAGACAGTGAGGACGTACTTGTAACTTATGTAAGATATATTCATAAAGGAGATTTTGCTGAAGAAATGTTCTTCTGTAAATCATTAGAAAGCACCACTACCTCCAAAGATATTTGTAGTAAGCTAAAAAATTACTTAGCTGTAATAAATATACCAATCAAAAATATAAACATCTTGTACTGTAGATAGTGCTCTTAATATGATGGTTGAAAAATAAAATAAAGCACGGAATAAGAAAAAGGGTTGCTTAAAATTGATAAAAGATGAGAATCCAGAAATGCTTCTTGTACATTGTGTTATTCATAGAGAAAACCTGCTAGCTAAGAACAATTCCAATTCCCCTGTTCTAAATGAAGTACTAAATTCAGTTATAAAGTGTAGTGTTATAAAGTGTATAAGTTTATAATAGTGCTATTAAAGCTAGGGCCAAATGTGAACGTCTTTTAAAGTTATTTTATGAAGAACAAAATGAAGACTATATGAGACTTGTACTTCACTTTCAATTTCACACTGACTTCAATTTCACACTGAAGTAAGAAGGCTGTCGAAAGGGAACTGCTTGGAAAGATTTATGGAACTATTTGACACTCTTAGTTATTTTATAAGCGACAAACCTGAAATGAAAAATCCGTTAACAGATGATAACAAGGCAATTGTGGGTTATTTAGCCGATATCTTTGAAAAATTAAATATACAACTTCAAGGAGCAAATAAAACTTATGTCGATGCAAAAGGAAGCTATTTGGTTTCATTATCTTTGTTGAATTATGTCAGGCATATACTATTTACCACAAAAATTTTGAAAAGTCTCATTGGTTCCAAAAATGTGGCATGACTACCGATATACCTGTTACTGATACCGCTATACTTGTTATTGTCGATCATCTGAAAATTTTATTGGCTGATTTGAAAGATGTTGTAACTTAAAACAAATTGATTTCCCAACTTGGATGATGCAGCCAATGCTAGTGGATTTGGCTGATGTTTCAAATATGCAGTAAAAAGAACTCGCAGAAATGCAAAATGATGAGTCAATTAAAACTTTATTTAATATAAAAGGAGCGGTGACATAGCTTTCTGAGGAAACCAGAATCAGATATCCAAATGCAACAAAATTTGCAAGAGAACTATTGTTACCATTTCTGTCTTCATGTTTTGCTGAATATGGATTTAGTGCCATAAATAATTTGCTGCTTAAAAAAAAAAAAAAAAAAAAAAGGTTAGATATAAACGAAACTGGGAGACTTGAGACTCAAGTTATCTAAATTGGAACCTGACACAAAATTTCTTTGCAGCAAGTATCAAATCAAGCTCAAGGAACTCGCTAAATTTAAATAATAAAAATTACTAATACTTAAAATGAAAAACTTTCACTAAAATGAGTTTTTTCTTGAATTTCTCCATGTTTTTAAAGTTCACTTACTGTGTTTGCTCACAAAATTTCGTAGTCATTTCTTCCTAAAAGCTATCATTCAAGTTTCTTTTGAGAACAATTTTCAATTTTTAAATATTAAAAATTATGTATATGCTGGGGGGAGCTTAAAAATTTTAGAGAGGATTATATAGGACATTGCACAAAAAAGGTTGGGAAACACTGCATTAGACTGTTCAGAAAGTAATGACTACTTTATTCTATGCAAAGCTTCTACATACACAATGAACTATCCACTAGTATTTTAAAATGTAAAGTGTATTCTTTGAAAAGTATGGTTGTTGGTCTTTAACATAAACCTAACTGTTGATTAAAATAACAATATTTCTTTTTCTTTCAAAATGGAAACAGACAAGGTACACATGAGACATTGTATACGTAGCAGAACTGCTACACAAATTTCTAGAAGAATCCAAGATATTTATGGTAAAATCATCAGCAATATTAAGTCTGTCATTAGTTTAAACACTTCAGATCAAGGGATTAAGATCTCAGCGATCTTTCAAAACATGGTAGACCATAAGAAGCAGATGATAGCCAACTGGCAGCTATGGTTGAAACTGATCCCAGAATTCCCAGTCATATAATGGCTATCAAGCTACAAGTATCACAGACTGACATTATAAACCACTTGCATGAACTCAGACAGACAAACAAAAAGATAATACTTCATCAATTCTCAGTTGATCACTGGCTTTCTTATTATGACATAGGAAAATGCCAAACCCACTTTTACTTCCTTGTACGTAGTAAAGGAAGTACTGTAACCATGAAAAATTCTGGGTGCCCTATTTCAATGGAAATATCAGGAAAGTGCAGAGAGGAGCAGAGACAAGCTCTAAATGTGAACAGAAGTAGATGTGCCTCCATTCTGGATCCAAAGCTAACAAACTTTAAAACTGCTAGGCAGAGAATCACATTGATGAGCCTTCAAGCAGTGTAATCGTGTAGGCAGTGATGTTCGACAATTGTACAAATGCTTACACTTGATCCCCAAGATGTGAATTATCCTGTGAACTATGTTTGGACTGTGCTATCTCCTGTAGAGTTATTTAATCTGTTAGGGGTTTTATTTTACCAGCTTTCTAATTCATAATAATAATTTGATCAATATATAGTTTATACCTTCGTCTCGTGCTTAGGTAATCCACTGTACCCCATATATATATCCACAATCTTACCTGACCCTTATTTTTGCAGTCATACACCTCCCATTACAGAAGCATTTTAAATGATGAAAATATTCATGTTTTGGCTAAGTGAAATTAAAAATAATAATAATAATTTTCCACAAGTAGTGAAATTTAACTTTTAATGCAGTCTTCCACTTCTTACACTTATATTTGGGAAAGTTTTATACTTGTCATAAAAAAAAATAAAAATAAAAGAAGTTTGATGCCCATATGACATAAATTGAATAGGCTATTTAATTCCAAAATTTGCAATTTTTTATATCATTTTCAACTTGCATTGAGGAATCAGTTAATTAAGTTAGAATAATTAGAGGAAATAAGTTTAAACTAAGTGCAGTAAAAAATATGTATAATTTAATAGGTCATACAAAGACGTCATATCCACATCAGATTTTTCAGATATAACATCAAATAGAAGAGGAATAATTCTTCAGCAAGACAATGTAGACCATACAATGCAAAGATGATCAAACAAAAATAAACAAAAACAACTAGGAACCCTTCCTCACCTATCATATTCACTAGAAACCACTCCACCAGATTACCAACAATTTCAATATATTCAACACTTTCTAGAGGTTTGATGATCACGACAATGACCATCAAGTAGGACTTCAGTTTTTTAATTCAAAGGATGAGATTACTAAAGTGTCATAAAGATGGGAAATGATTCAAAACACACTGACAAGACTGATGTAAAACACAATGAACAAATATGATAAAACTTCTTTGCTAAGGAGGGACTTTTTTAAATCCATTTAAAAACAATCATTGCTTTCCTTGGAATCTAATAATATACAACTTTTAATAGGCAATGTCTTTTTATAATATGGAAAATCTCAGGCCTATTCAAGTAGCAAAAATTGGGTCTTCAGCTGCAATCGCCCAAAAAGTACTAAGTGAAAATAAATTTAACCCTCTCGGGTGTTTAAAAACAAAAGCTAACAAATTTCAGACATCTCACATAGCATACCATAAGGTAAAATGCTATAATGGATACATTTTATAGATAATATTAGATGATAATTATTTATACTGCAGTGTAAAACAAATTCAAGTATTTCTATATAATGAGAGATTATACACATATAACATACTGACTTACTTGCACATTGAAGAATTCTGATGACTGAGATGTTTTATACAAGGCTGGAAATTTTAACATGGTTTCTGCACTGCAGGTCCGATCGAACAAACCTATCGCCAACGGTGGGGCGGCTGTAAATATCTATAATAATACATGCATAGCATTTGGTTAAAATAATGCTTTTAAAATTTGCACTAATTATTAAATATGAAATTTTATTCACTTGAAATATCAGTAAAAACAAATCAAAAATTTTTTTTTAAATTATTGATGAATCTCAAGCAATGAATTTTCTCTATTAACAAAATGAAACATAGCTATTAACCAGCAAACCATATATTGTGATGTGATATATTTTGAAAGACAGATTGACAAAACAGTCTTTTTTATATTTTTTATTTCTGGTTGTTATTGTTTGGCAATCACATTCGAAATCAGCTAAGTGTTAGTAAGCTTGTCATTAACATACTTCCATTTAAGCTTATCATTAAGAAGAAACTTAATGATAAGCTTAAATGGATGCATGTTAATGACAAGCTTACTAAAAATGAAAAGCTATGGTATTCTTAAAGTGACAATGGCAAGTTGTGGAGAAAAGACTATTATTCTTTATAGCACCATATGAGTTTGGTTGAATAAGAAGGCAAATGACTTCTCTGGCACTAATTCCCAGATCTTTTATTTTGTCATCAGTTGTTTAATACTTTGCCAGCAGAGTATTTCCATCACACAGCATAATTTAATTATGTGAAAATTGAAACACTCGCAATTTTTTGATAAAATAGCATACACCTGGAAAATTGGCATCACTTCTGCTTCATTGTGCTTGGCAAATCCAGCAAAATGCATTAAAAATGAATATTACATAAATAAACATAATTTTAAAATTTTTTAGTTGGAAAAGGGTTTGTTGCATTAAAAAAAAAAAAAACCTCACCCCCTCCTAAAAACAAACAGTGAAAAAAACCATTGTGAAAAACAAGAATCTGGAACACTAAGAAAGTAGAGCTGTATACAGTATTATTGACAGTGTATACTGGCATATGCTGGTTGATTCTCCCATCCCAAGTATCCATAAAACTATACTAAACAGGTGAAAAAAAAATATTTTCATGAATTTCAGTGTAATTAACTTTTTAACAGTTTTTTTACAAGTTAAATTTTCTAAAACAGGTCATTACATCTGCAAAAAATGTGTATTACTTGAAGAAAAAGCTAAAAAATTTTGATATATTTTATGAAAGTATTTATTCATTATAATTATTCTAAAGTCACAACAACTGTAAAAAGGTTTGATTTTAATGAAAATAAATTACAATTTTATCCTGGAGTTTTGCATTTTCCGTGACAGGTCATCCATTATTTAAAGCTGCTTTTTAATGTTTATTGAAGTTATTAAATAATATATTATAGTTTTTAAATAATATATGTTTGTTAATGAAACTCTAAGAATTCGTGAATTAAAAGAACTGATCCTAAAAGAATTCAGCAACTTATAAAATTGAAATGTATACTTAATTATTTTGCTTTAATAAAATTAAAACATACCACATTATACAACCCAATCGTCCACCGTTCGAAAAGAGTTTGTCCAGACCAGCCACTGACAATTGCAAACCATAACTGTTAAAAGCAAACAAAGAAAAATGTTTACCACTAATGCAATTCAACTGAAGAAAAAATAAATTGCTCCGATTATAAAAAGTGGTCACAAACTGTTTTAGAAAAGTTTATAAAAAATCTACAGTTATAAGAAATAAGTTACACTGCCATTATGATGTTCGAGTTTACTATGTTACCCAATATCTGCTCTGAGACAGATCCATCTGCACAGCATCTATGAAATATTCAGTTTGTTTCAATCAGCATCTCTGAACACACATAATGAAATAGCATCCATTATTCTGCACTTTAAATGTCTCAACATTTGGACCACTTATGAAAAACAATTTATTTAGACTTTTTTCTGCACCCACAGAAAAATGTTTATACAAGCATTACATTTGGTGACTGCATTGATTAATGTTTTGTTGCCAAAAAATGCAACCCAAGTTAACTAATGAGTGCTGTGTACTGGATTTCACCTCCAACTACTAGAAGAAAAAAAAAAACTGAAAGGTTTCAGATTTTAAATTATGTCCAAAGGGGAGTTTCTTTAACGTTTTGTGCGTTACCTTTACTTATTAAATATCATGTTCTTCGTACTTAAACCATAAAATTCAGTTCAAAAGCAATATCCCAAAATAGATTTAAATTCAGCATAGCTTTAGAATTCCAATACACAGTCTCATGCGCTGGAGATAAAAATGTTCTTTCTGTACAACATTGCCATTGCTCGCTTTGAAATCCCTGAGTTTGTTAATCAAAAATTCATTAAAGATTTACAAAATATGAAATCAGTAATAAAACAAATTCCAAATTTCAAATTTGGTCTTCCATATGCCCATATTTGTAGGAGGATTACATTACTCAAAATTCAATGGCTCTATGTACCATTATTTTATCATTATGCGAGAAATATACATACATCTATGCAGATTTTTCATTATTTAATTTTTTCAAATATAATACAGGACTCTAACATTGGGTGGCAACAGTTTGAAAAGTGAAACGGACATTGATAGTGATTCAACACAAAATCGCAAAACAAAAACAATAGTCCTTCAGGGCCAAAGCCCCTTTGGACTAATAATTTTTCAGTTCTCTGCTTTGGATGTCAAGAGGATTCCATGAACATATTCATATTTCCTTGCATATTTTTTTCTTTTTTAAAAATACTTTTGAAAAATTTAATTTTTAATTAATTTTTTTTTAATTACTTAATTATCATATGAAAATTGAGAGAGGAAAATTACTTGACTAATTTAATTTCCGAAGGACGTTATTACAGTAAGAACATAACAAATGGAAAGTAGTCACGGAAAAGCTGCAGGTAACTATCATAATATTATTCAGTTAAAAGAAACAAAATTCCAGTAATACGAGGGCTATCCAGAAAGTAGATTACGTTTTGGAATAAAAAAATAAACAAAGTATAGGAAACAAATTTTATTATATACAGATGAAAGCCACACTCAAATACTACTTTTCTACATAGTCACCATACAAATTAAGGCATTTATCGTAGCGATGTACGAGCTTGGAAATTCCTTCGTCGAAAAATTCGGCCGCCTGCGCCTTCAACCACTTCGTTACCTCTTCTTGCAGCTGTGCGTCGTCATCAAAACGCTGCATAGCCAGCCACTTCTTCATTGCTGGGAATAGGTGGAAGTCGCTCGGTGCCAGGTCGGGACTGTACGGCGGATGAGGAAACAACTCCCACTTAAAAGATTCAAGAACTTTACGAGTGACATTTGCCGTGTGGGGCCGGGCGTTGTCGTGAATCAACAAGATCTTAGAGCTCAACATTCCTCTGCGCTTGTTTTGAATTGCTCTTCTGAGTTTTTGGAGAGTTTGGCAATACCTTTGAGAGTTTATTGTAGTGCCTCTTTCCAGGAAGTCCACCAAAATTACACCCTTTTCTGTCCCAAAAAACAGTCGCCATCATCTTCCTTGCCGACATTGTTTGCATGCATTTCTTGGGTTTTTGGGGAGAACTTGTGTGCCCCCACTGCATTGATTGCAATTTCGTTTCACAGTTCACATGTTTCACCCATGTTTCGTCACCAGTAACGATGCGATCGAGTAAAGAGTCACCATCCTTATGGTAAGCGTCCAAAAAGTTCAACGCTGCAGCCATTCGCTGATTTTTGTGGTCCTCTGTCAAGATTTTTGGAATCCATCTTGCACAAAACTTGTGGTAACCAAGCTTTTCGCTGATGATTTCGTGCAACAAACTTCGCGAAATTTGTGGAAAACTCAAAGAAAGTTCCGTTATTGTGAAATTTCGATTTTCACGTACTTTAGCATCGACTTTTTCGAGAAGTTCGGCGGTCACTATGCTGGGTCTCCCACTTCGATCTTCGTCGTGAACATTGGTTCGGCCATTTTGAAATCTTATGACCCACTGACGCACTCCACCTTCAGTGATAATGTTGTCCCCATACACTTCACGAAGCTGCCGATAGATTTCTATCGGTTTACAGTTTTTTGCAGTCAGAAACCTTATTACTGAGCGCACCTCGCAGCTCGCGGGATTTTCAATTAACGCAGACATTTCAAACCGTCACAGTATCTGAACGGAGCACAGCACGAACCTCTCACTAGCACGGCTAGATGCAGACTGAGCTGCGCAACGCTCTGACCCCAAGATGGCCGCGCTAGCCCCACCCCTAGCGGACACAGATGGAAACGTAATCTACTTCCTGGATGGCCCTTGTAATATATGTAAAATTAACATTACAATATCTAAAAAGATATCTTCACTTCTACTTCCCTGTAACTTAATTTCACCCATTCTTAGTGTTGTCTCTGCTATTCTTAGGCCTCAAATCATTCGTAAATAATTAGTGAAGGTAAATGTGCAGCTGATTCAGTAAAATCATAGCTAGAAAATCAATTCATGTTTGCTTTTCTGTGATTGGATGGTTTTTGTATAAGGCTAATAATATAAGGTCAGCAGTTAAAAGAGAAAGGTTTGACCTAAACTTCGAGGCAGTATGTGACAGTTTGTCTTTGTTAATAAGATGAAAACAATCACTATATGGACAAATCTATTTTAAAATTTAGGAGAGCTCAATCTTTGAATGCATAGAAAAAAGGTAAAATTGCATGAATATTTTTAAAATTTCAAGGATCAGATTCTAAAACACTAGGAGAAAAATACATGAGGAAATATTTATATCACATGATCCATGCATAATTTTGTGTGCAATCAACACCTTACTAAGTAGATGCAAGGTTTATTTAATTAACACTTTAATTTCTTATGTTGAATTCTTCCTGTTTTTCTACTATTTTGTCTATTCCTCGGAAAAATGAATATGGAAATTTAGGCCTAGAACATAGAGATTCTGTTTTCTTCCTGCTGAAAGGTATGGCAATTGGTAAGCTAATTTTTCACCTGTGTTTTTAAAAAAATGTTTATGATCTCAGTACTCATAGGCTTTAATACTTCAATTTATAAATATTCTTCTACTGTTGCTTTATCAGGTCACAAGCAGTGACAGTTAAGTTTATTTTTCACTTCAGTTACCTCTTCAAGCTGAATTACCAATCTACAACTACCATGTAAAAAGTTTTATATTTTTCAACAAAAAACATACTATTAGTTTAAATAACCATTATACTTTTTGAAATCTGCTGCCTGGATGGTATAGTGGTTAGGGGAGCCTCATGCAGTACCAAAGGATCTGGGTTCGAATCCCCAAAGAAGCATGTTTGTAACTGTGCATCTGTTTATAGGAGGAAATGGTGGCTGCATATCAGGCACTTCCATGATAAAATGGCACCACTTTTGGCCAGGGACGGCAAATGCTGTATAGACAAGTGCACACTAATGACAAAAAAACTTTCCAAAATCTTGTATGTTGTAGAATTCTATGATAAATAAAAAATCATCTGGCAGTCCATTAGTTATTCATCATTTATTTTAACCATATTTGTTTGTAATCTTGCCTTTATAACTTATGTATAATCCTGCCTTTTAACTTATCTGCCTCTTATAGCCTTTATAACAGCTAGCATAAAGCATGGTACATGTTACACATGAGACAAAGAAGTTATTTAAAAACTTTTCATCAGCCCACATTTCATATGTAATAGGCAATTACCACAATTATTTAATGCTATTTTTAAATTTATCTTTTTATTCAATATTCAATCACACATCATCTTTTAAAAATATCCATAAGGGCTATTGCTCCATTCCAATGATTATTTTACTCTTAACTTACAAACAACTTTTTAAAATTGATTTAACATGGGAAATATGACCATTCTGCTCACATAATAGAATAATACCCATAATAGAATGTGAATACACTTACTTCAATGACATATAAGCAAATGTTTTTGTGAAAAGAATACAAGATAAGCTTGCATAGACGGGCATGACTCCAAGCTCCATGAACAAAAAGAAGTCGAGTCAGATACCGAAACTGCAAAAGGAAATAGATACATTAATTTATATATTTATATAATTTATAATTTTTATATTAATTATATGTGTTTTAAGTCAAAATGATATTACCATTATAGAAATGGAATTATGGAGAAGTTTTAATAATAAATGCAAAGAATGATTAAAATGTGGGATTCAGTATGTATTTTGATTATTATTTTCTCACCTATGTTAACATATATATTAATCAGTACATGTTAAGTTCCTAAAAGAAAGTATATATATATATATATATATATATATATAATAGGTAGAAATATTGCAGCGAGCTTGCTAAAAAGTTACCAGGAGCTGTAGCTCCACGAAATAGTTCAACGCAGTATTACTAAAATATTAACATAGAAGAAATTTTTTTAAAAAATTATTAACATGGAAAAAAAGAAAAAACTGCTTACACACAAAATAAAACTGTTTAAAATCAATGTTGGAAAACATGTGAATGCACGAAAAAACTAATCTGACCGTTGTGATATGTGAAAAGTTAATACACATAAAAATAGATCAACGTAGCAAGTTAAAACAAAATAAAATTAAAAAATAATTAAAACATAAATTGCAAAAATTATAATGAAAACATAAATTGCAAAATTACAAAAAATACAATAATTACAAAGCTGAAAATGGTAAATTAACCCAATCGGACCCTCAACCAGGCTTTTCAAGGGAAAAATGGTTGAGTGTCGAACTAAGACAAATACCATTACGCATTTTGCCGAAACAGACCACTGAAGCTCTTGTTTGATGAGAAAAATTTTTTTAAAAAAACATGAATTGTCCTGAGAAAATCTTTTTGGAGCTTCAATTCTCTGTTCCTTTTTCCCGACGCATCCGCAAGCACGGAGTTGAATTTACTTTTTTTATTTTTTGTTTTTCTGCAGACGTGTCGGGAAAAAGGAACAGAGAATTGAAGCTCCAAAAAGATTTTCTCGGGACAATTCATGTTTTTTTAAAAAAATTTTTCTCATCAAACAAGAGCTTCAATGGTCTGTTTCGGTAAAACGCGTAATGGTATTTGGCCTAGTTCGACACTCAACCATTTTTCCCTTGAAAAGCCTGGTTGAGGGTCCAATTGGGTTAATTTACCATTCTCCAGTTGGTAATTATTGTATTTTTTGTAATTTTGCAATTTATGTTTTCATTATAATTTTTGCAATTTATGTTTTAATTATTTTTTAATTTTATTTTGTTTTAACTTGTTCCGTCGATCTATTTTTATGTGTATTAACTTTTCACATATCACAACGGTCAGATTAGTTTTTTCGTGCATTCACGTTTTCCAACATTGATTTTAAACAGTTTTATTTCGCGTGTAAGCAGTTTTTTTTTTTTTTCCATGTTAATAATTTTTTAAAAAAATTTCTTCTATGTTAATATTTTAGTAATACTGCGCTGAACTATTTCGTGGAGCTACAGCTCCTGGTAACTTTTTAGCAAGCTCGCTGCAATATTTCTACCTATTATTTCATATTTTTGCAGCATTCTGCACAAAAAATTTTTAAAACCAAACAGGTCTTACGTCTCATTACTTGTTAGCTTTTCAATTTCTGTTTTGATTATATACACTGGTGTGCAAAAATTAAGGACGAGACAGTTTTTTCAATATAACTTTGTACAAAAGCTTTCCAAATCAACAGATTTAATACCGTTAGATCCCCAATATGTAAGGAAATGAGTAATGTAAGCAACACTTACTAAAAAAGAAATCAGAGGGATAAAAAGAAGCTTTATTGAAAACGTAGCATGGAGCGCAATGCGACTGAAGGCCGAAACATCCCTGTGATGGGTGTCCAGCAAGAAACATCCGGTCTTTAATAGGGATATGATCTCCCCTGACTGCTAGGCAGGTTTCACAGCGTCTTCCCATGCTGAGAATGAGGGTGTCAATGAGTTGTTGAGGCGTTGCTGCCCATTCCTCTTGCAGCGCCAATCGAAGCTCCGGAATCGTTACTGGTGGTAAGGTACGAGCTGCCAAGCGTCTGCCTAGAAAATCCCATAACTGCTCGATGGGATTGAGATCCGGAGATCGTGCCGGCCAATCCATACGTTCAATATCCTCACTCTCTAAGAGCTGTTCGGCAGCTACTGTGCGATGACATGGTGCATTGTTGTCCATGAAAAGGAACTGCGGACCCATAGCGCCTCTAAAAAGACGCACATATGGAAGAAGAATCTCATTACAATAACGGGTCCTGTTGACTGAACCTGCGCCGAAGATTTGAAGGTCTGTACGACTACAAAGCATGATGCCTCCCCAAACGAGAACACCGCCACCTCCATACCTGTCCCTTTCAATGATCTTCGAGCGATGATTGCGGCTTCCCCTCTCTCTCCAGATGAGTATGCGATGAGAATCGCTACTCAGACTGAATCTGCTCTCATCTGTAAAGAGTACTCGTCCCCATTCATTGTCTCTCCAATTCCGGTGTTCCCGGCACCACAGAGAACGCCTTCTCTGATGGGCAGGCGTTAGAGGTACACACCGTACAGGGTGTCATGCAAACAGACCACCACCGTGCAGTCTTCTGGCCACAGTAAAACGCGATACCGGTCGTCCAGTCGCCTGTGTCGTGTGTCTAGCGATTTCTCCCACTGTCTGCCGCCTGTTTCTTCTGGCCTGTAAGGCAATATACCGGTCATCTGCGGGTGTGGTTCCTCGTGGACAACCACTACTAAACCCCCAGATAGCTGTTCCTGTAGTTTGAAATTGTCTTCAAAGTCGTAAAATGACGCTGTGAGCAATTCTGAACTCTGCAGCCACACTTGTCACACTGCGGCCTTCCTCCAACTTCCCAATGATTCGACCTCGGATAAAAGCATCCAGATGTTGTCTAACAGATTGATTATTGGCCATTTCTTGCTGAGGCAGCAACTCGGTGTGATTTTAACTGCTATACGGCGTGCAACCTCTTTGCCAGAAATACTGATCTTACACCGATAACATGCTTTATACTACTCAGACACTCCCCCATTACGTCTACCTGCATATCTGCGCATGTGCTACCGTACATCACCTTACTTAATCTCCTGATTGGTCTTTCTGTCCGCTCTGCCTCTTCGTTCAGCTGATATGCTAATTTTTCGACTTCGTCCTTAATTTTTGCACACCAGTGTATATAAATACATATACACACAGTGTTCTCTTGATTATTAGGGTGTGGATTACCCAAGTGTGGAGATGTCTCTGCATGCACACACAATGCTATGCACAAGAGTATGTAATAAAACAAACATACACAAATTTAAGCAAGGAGAAAGATACTTTCTAGTCTAGAAATTAGAGATTTATTTAATAGTGAAGAACTCAAGGCAATGTCAATTTCTACTATTTCTGGCAAATTCCATGAGCACATATTTAAAAATTCAGTTTAAGGCATAACTGAAGTAGTATGCCAAAATTTTGAAAATGTAAAAATCTTCCAAAAATGTCAATAGGTAAAACATCGCAAAATGATTCAATGGCAAAAACAGTTTGATCACTGGGTTGTGTTACGGAAAATTCTTATGTATTTTTTGTTGGGTATAATTATTTCGTATTATTTTACTGTGCACAATGTATTCTTAGCTATTATATTATTTTACTGTGATTATTGAATTTGTATTGAGCTTATTTTAAATTAATGTATAATATTTAATATTGTTAAACTTTACGGCAAAACTCCTTTAAGTTTGGCAGAATTGTGTTACAGTTAAAAGGGCGCGGGTGTATTTCCGTTTCTCACGCGTAGGCTTCTTTGGAGGTTAGAGGTCACTGTCCAGCTGCATTTTCCCCTTTTTTCGCGGGGGTTGAAAACACGTGTTTTTCTCGTTCAGAGGCGAATAGTTCTAAGGGGCGGCGATTTTTTGACAGAGTTATAGGTTGGAAACATTCTTCTGTTGCGTGGGAAAGAAAGAAAGGGTCTGTCTTCTTGTAGAAAGTTCTGAATTTCTGAGAATTTCAGTGGCGATTTATGACCTTTCTTTTAATTGGCGAAAGGGAGTCCAAGTTTCCTTAAGATTGGCTAAATTTTTTAATTTTAGTGTTGTTTGAACCAATAGTAATTTTGAGGCGTTTCTTGGTGTGTGTAAACCGAGGTTTCTTAAGCCGTTGCACGGAAGGCAGGGGAATCTTTCTTTTGGACTTGAAAAAAAAAGCGATTTTTAGAGAAGACTTTTAAGAGAGTTTTTTTTTTTTTTTTTTTTTTGGAGCCTTAGGGGTTTGCTACTTTGACGGCGGCCCCTACGGGGCCGGCCGCGATCAGTGAGGTGCTGAGATGAAAAACGCGGTGGTTCTTCGGTGGTCGACCGCGGTATACAGTTAAGTTTTTATCTCCGAGATTTCTGGGTACGGAGGGTCCGAGACAGTGCGGGTTGCTCGTCATGTTGACAGCGGCAATTCTTGCGGCCTATTATTTTCAATTTCGTCGCTGAGGTTTCTTTTCCCATTTGTGGAACAGTCTGAACTGCTCGTTCGTGCTGGAGTATCTATTTTGCTTTCGAAAAGATGGAAATATGGAAAGTCGTCATCGCCTGAGGTCTGCTTTGGTCTTTTGTCTCCAGTTTCGACCTCTTTCTCTTATCTTCAGTGGAACTTCGAAAACGGGAAGTTGATTGAGTGAAAGTGCTGCTTAACGGAGGAATTTGAAAACTTTAAACTGGAACTATGAAAAGGCTCCGGTTCCGGAAAACAACGATGAAGATTTGGCAGTTATTGTTTCGGGATTTGTAATTTAGATCGGGGCAGCTCCCTGAGTCTCTCAAAGGTGGTACGCCGATTTCGTGAGTGACTTTTAATTTTCATTGGTGTTTTATTTTGATACATAATCTTTTTAAATTTGGAAATGTTTAATACTAAAGCAAGAGTTGACATGTTAAGTAGATAAAAATTGAATATTTTTACCAAATTTCTAGCTGAGAAAGTAATTTTTTTTATTTAATGTTTAATAGTCAGAAGTCAATTGAACTAATTGGAGGAAGTGAATCTTTGTTTTAATGTTTAAG